GCGCCTGGGCAGGGAGCAGCGGCGCTACTCGCTGTGGGACTGCCTCTGGATCCTGGCCGCCGTGGCGGTGTACTTCGCGGACGTGGGCACGGACATCTGGCTCGCCGTGGACTACTACCTACGCGGTCAGCGCTGGTGGTTCGGACTCACGCTCTTCTTCGTGGTGCTCGGCTCGCTGTCGGTGCAAGTGTTCAGCTTCCGCTGGTTTGTGCACGATTTCAGCACCGAGGACAGCGCCACGTCTGCCGCCTCCGGCTGCGCTCAGCCAGGAGCGGATTGCAAGACCGTGGTCAGCGGAGGGTCTGCAGCCGGGGAAGGCGAGGCTCGTCCTTCCACGCCGCAAAGGCAAGCATCCAACGCCAGCAAGAGCAACATCGCCGCTGCCAATAGCGGTAGTAACAGCAGCGGGGCCACCCGGGCGGGCGGCAAACACAGGTCTGCTTCCTGCGCCTTCTGCATCTGGCTCCTGCAGTCACTCATCCACATCTTGCAGCTCGGGCAAATCTGGAGGTATCGTATCAGGGGTGGGGGCGAGTGAGAATTGCTACTGCTACTACATCCCCACTGCTTTGCTTTTGCACGAAAATCGTTCAGGGTTACTGTGGTCGTAACCCTAGTCACAGTTCTGTGTGTGTGTGTGTGTGTGTGTGTGTTTTAAACTGGAGCTTGCTTTTTAATTTTTTTTAAAATTAATCTCTGCTTCAGGTGAGAGGGAAATGAGAATGGCCAGAGAAAGTGGATCTGATCATCTTTCCTTCTTGCCTTCTCACTCCCTTGCTGGCCTTTTCTTTTTATATGCTACAACCTCCCTTCTCAGTTTTTAGTTATACTGTTTCTGTGAGTAGGAGAAGATCCCTGCCATACTTTCTAAAAATTCTTTCTTATTATGTAGAATTTAAGGTGTAGTGTTGCAATTTTTTTTACTTTTGTTCTCTGTGGGGAAAAATGACTAATTCTAGTTTGATGGAAATTATCATGGTTCAAAAGTACCTACAAATTAAGAACCACTGCTAGTGAGGTACTATAGTCAAAGTTAACTGTTGACTTAGATATGCAACATATGAATATATGAATATATATGTCTTTACATATTCATATATGGGTATATATATTCATATGTACAAATATGTGGTGCTTGTGTCTTCAGGCAAGAGTGAGCACACTTTAAGGGCCACAGACTTACTTACTTGGATAGTGCACCTTCTAATTATCTTGCAGTATCCCCAAATCTACTTGCTAATATAATAGAGCACCCTTGGAGGAGTGGCACATTGGGTAAACTTGAATGGTACTTGACATTTTCATTGGCTATTTTGCTACTTGTCATTTGGTTTACCAAGTCTTTTTATACGGATAGCACTTGCACTTACAAATGACAATCACTACATGGACTTAGAAATGTAATAAAACAATGTGCTCAGAAATATACTCCTTTGACTTTTATATGGTTTAGATGTTTTGGGAAGCACTGTTTAATATCACAAAAATTATATGCATGGAAGTATATAGATACTAATGTATGAGATCTTTCTTTCCTTCCTTCCTTCCTTCCTTCCTTCCTTCCTTCCTTCCTTCCTTCCTTCCCTTCTTTCTTTCTTTCTTTCTTTCTTTCTTTCTTTCTTTCTTTCTTTCTTTCTTTCTTTCTTTCTTTCTTTCTTTCTTTCTTTCTGTTGTGGGGCTTGAACCTTGGGCTTGGGTGCTGTTCCTGCACTCTTCAGCTCAAGGTGAGTGCTCTACCACTTGAGCCACAGTGCCCCTTCCCGTTTTCTAGTGGTTTATTGAAGATAAGAGTCTCATGGACTTTCCTGCCTGAGTTGGCTTTGAACCGTGATCCTCACATCTCAGCCTCCTGGGTAGCTAGGATTACAGGCGTGAGCCACCGGTGCCTGGCTGAGATATTTATTTTTAAAAAATGATTTAGTAAATATTGAATCTTCTTATCTAATATATGGAAAATTCATAGAAAGTACGTGGATTTGGGAATGTGTACTGCCACACCGGTATTCTTTTCACCATTTCACATTTTTTATGCTAAAGGGGATTAGAAGTCCTTGACTAGCTTACCTGGAAACAACTCAGAAAATTTGTGAACTAGAAATGCAAAGTTCCTTTGGATAAAGAAATAGTGTTCGTATTCAAAATGAGCAAGTGTGGTAATTTCACCACCTTTCTTGAGATGAGAGTTTGCAAAGCTAGATAAACATCATCCTATTGCCTATTTTTAAAGCAGAGAGATAGTTTCTGAGAAAGTGATCCATCACATGCAGTCAAACAAATTGATGTTGGAAACTTCCCTGTGACATTTTGAAATGTAGGTTAACTGTGGTAGCTCTGTTTCCCATGATGACTATTGGGAAGTCTTACAGCTTCATGCTCTTCTTCAATTATGATGAGGAATTGGAATGCTTGGCTTAATCCCTGAAATTATGCAGTGGCAAGGATGCTTAGGATTGCCATTTTTAAACTGCTAATAGGATGAGTGAAAGATACAATGCTATTTTTTTAACCTTTGCAAACTTTACTCACAATTTGGAAATCAGTTAGTTTAATCCCCTTTAATGTTTCTAGGTTTATGTCAATAATGCACATACTTCTAAGTTTAAAAAAAAATACACATTTCCCAAAGATTGATACTCTCTCAAAAATTCTGATAGCACATTCAGTGAACTGAAGAACTGATTTTAATTATAATGGTGTTTACTAGACCTTCTAAACCAAGCATTTTCCTGATTGGAAAATGATGCCTAATGTTATCAGAAATAATGTGTACAGCGTGAGATATGGGTGCATCTCCATGAACCCACAGTCACAAGATCAGTGAGCCTTACAGAAAAGCTATGGTGGGGGTTGGGGGGAAGGAATGGAAGGTGAGATTGAATGTGGAATGAAACCACAGGCTGTCAGATGAATGCATTAACTGACCCAACCCTTGAGGAAACACATGGTTCCTTTCATGTTAAGTATTTTTACAGAGTATTCTTTAGAGGCTTTGAAGTTTATTCTAATAACACAGAAACATCTGGGTAGAAGTGCTTATTACTGGGATGACTATCAGATGTTTATGAACATTCTCAAAATGATGTGTTTAATATGGAAATTTGAATTGTTATTGAATCTGTGGGATTCTGGTCAAGATATTTGGGTACTCCCAGTATAACCTGGTAGAATCCAGACCTGAGACTAGTCAGTCTCATTTTCTCTTTTGATAAAGCATGTTGTAGGTTTTAAAATTTTAACCTGATGCAGAAATTTGTAAAGGAATAAGAAATGTTATGAGAATCAACACTCAGATGCATCCTGATAGGTTCTATTTTCTGAGTGTTACACATTTGAATGAACATTGGTGTTGGATGTGTTTTTGATAATAAGCTGTGAAGTGACTCATCTTGGTTTACTGTATTAGACATAGTGCAGTATCTTAGACCACTGTGATTTCTTAAATTAGAAGCACCCTTTACCTCTTCTAGCTCTACTTTCCAATGCATTGTACAGAAATATGGCAGAGACACAGAGTACTGAGTGGTCCAAGACTCAGAGGTCATTATTCATGTTGTAACATGCTGCTTTCTGGGATCAATAAAATAGATTTTAGTTAGGTTAGTAACTGCTTGCTGTATTTCCATGAAATGCTAGTTATTTTAGGGATTCTAAAAGCTTTCTGTACATAAAAAATCTTTTGAAATAACATCAGAGTGTTTACTTGTTCAGAAATAAGCCATTTGAAATAGTGTGGACAAGATTTGCATGTACTGATACATGTACCACAAATGCAGCTGCTAAAAGCAGAGATACATATTTATTTTAATTAAAGTTTACTAATGGGAAATTAATGGCAGCTTTTAAAGTCACAGGAGGTGATGCTGGGAAAGAGCCAGTGAACTTTTGATACCAAGTTAAAAGAACAATGATGACTTTAAAGGAAGTGTGCCTGTAAATAAAGGAGAAAGCATGAGTCTTTATTTGATCCCATGATTCCAGAAATTACAGAGCACAGTTCACCCAATGAGAATCATATATACCTAATGAGAACAATTTTTAACCCTTATCCAGGGTTGGAGCATGTCTATCTGGGAAATCATTTGGTACATGATGATGTAGATATGTATGCTCTTAGTTGGTTGCCTACAGCCTGTCTGCCTGTCTTGATGACTTTGTATGGCTTGTGAAGGGTGTTATAAATATCCAAAAGATCCTTGGTAAAGAAAAGATTCCCCACTTCTGCCTGGTACCTGTAACCAGTTTTATCTTACTACCTTATTCTTTCAGAATTTATTTATTTTTGTTTTTTGTTTTCTTTCAGAATTTATGAAATTTACTTATAATTGTACGTGATTTTTTCCTATGTATATATGTACATATCTGGTTGTTTTCTATTAAATATGAGCACACCAGTCTCTTATAGCAGGACTTCTGAGAACCTTCAATAAGCTAATGTGAAATTGAGATGATGAGTTTTTAAGAAATTCCTATTAAATGTGCTTGTAGTGATGTGGCAGACAAAGAAACATTGATCTATGCCAATCTCAACCTTGTACAAACAACAATAATAATTTTATTTGGTGCCTTAAAAATGTACAAATGTTTTTACTTTGCTAAATTTTACAATAACTTAATAGGACATTGTAAGTTGGCAGTGGCGCTGTAGCTCAAAGTGGTAGAGTGCTCACCTTGAACTGAAGAGCTCAGGGATAGCACCCAGGCCCTGAGTTCAAGCCCCATGACCGATAAAAAACAGAAATTGTAAGTATTTCTATAAATGAGAAAAACTTACTCATAGAAGTTAAGAAACCACCCTATAGCTGAGTGACTCCAAGCAAGTTTCTTAACCTCTATGAGTAAGTTTTTCTGCTTAAAAATAAAAAACAGACATTGTCTTACCTTAAAGTTTGCATTCTTCCTGGCTTGCAAGCTACCTCCGTGTGCCAAAGAGAATATGGCAATAATGTATGGAACTAACTATTTGTCTTCCCTGTGTATGAACAGGTAAGAAAGAAAGCTTAAGGTTAAAGTGGTTAGGGAAACATTTCCCTTGATGAATATTCATTGCTGTTGTTTATTCAACCTATATCAAATATATACTACATTGGTGGTATGGTGTTTGTTCCTAATTATCCCAAGATGAGCAAATCGCACATCTTCAAGGAATCAACTGGCTAATAAGGAAGACAGAAATTGAACAGAAAATTTCCTTATGGAGATAAATACTGACAGAATAGTGAACTCAGAACATCTTGGTGGTTGAGCCATTTGAGAGACTGAACTTCATTATTAGATAGATAACTTTCCTCAGGAGCAGAGGGGATCTATATGAAGGTTTGAATAATGAGAGATAGTTGCCATCTGAGTGAAATACGGACCTGGCTTTCCAGCCTTGAGTATAGTGATACATAAAAACCAGGGGCTAGAAAAGAACAATGCATGTTTAGAGTTTTTGTTCAAATATGAGTGAGGGAAGAACCAACAAAGAAAGAGATGTAGATTTTATTTTGAAGGCAAAGAAGATTCTTTGA